CTGCCCTACCCATTTTGTTCCCTGTTCCTTCTGCCCTAAGGTCCAAGCTTCCTCCTTCAAGTCATAGCCTTTGGCTACCCCTTGGGCTGGAGGTACATACACACACTGGTAGCGTCCCTGACCTGAATTGAGGCTGAGAAAGCTGGCTCAGAGCCATTTGGGTAGGGAATACCGGGGACCCGAGTACTTGGTTGCCTGGGGAGAGGAGGACGCAGCCAGAGGAACGCCAGAGCAGAGGCTTTTTGCTCACTTGTAAGGGTTCTACTGCTCCATACACACATGTGTAAACAAGTGTTCATGCACATACATACACATTCACATGCATGTACCTAAAGTTGTACAAAATTACATAAATCTCAAAATGTGAAGTGAATTTTGTCTTCTTCATTATTCCATTTCAGTTAAAAAAAAATACTAGTTGTAGTACACTAAATTGATTTTATAATCCACTAATGGGTTCTCTTGTGACCCAGTTTTGAAAACTCTGCTGTAGTTGTTGGGGTGGTAGTAATGTGATAGATAGATTGATGTTTTGGAAACATCTGGCAGCTGATTAGATGATGGGTTGAAAAGGCGCGGGGATCTGGTTATGAGATTATTGAATCAAAGATCGGCCTAAAGATGCTTAGTGTGAGGACAGAGAGGAAGGGAAGTCAGTAGAAGCAACAGGTCTTGGTGGCTAATTAGATAATGGGATGCAGAAGAAAACTAGAATACCATCATGATTTCCAACTTAACTGATAGGGAAATTAGCAGGATAAATATATTTGAGGGGAAAGAAAGTGAGTTTAGCTTAGTACCTGTGGCATTTGAGGTTGCAGTTGTGACATTCAGGCAGTGTTGTATGCTAGTTTGGAGAGAGGTTTGGAAAAGCAGGCAATGTAATAGGGCCTTTGGATTTAGCACTAGGAAGGCACTGATAAACCTTAGCAAGGGAAGATCCCTGTGTTGGGAGGTCAGGAAAGGAAGACATACAATATAGGACATAGTCCATCCTTTCAATAAACTTGATAGTAAAGTCAGTAAGAATGAGGGAGGATGAGAGCAGGGAACAGATTTGAAGGAAGGCTTTTATTCGATTTTGGAGCACTTCTAAGAAGAAGAGAGGAGAACCTGTGGAAACCAAGATACTGAAAATATGACAGAGAAAGGAGGAATTGCTATGGCCTAGTTTCAGGGGACATGAGAGAATGCATTTTAGGACATAAGTAGAAGGGAACCTTACGAGGGAGAACATACAGGTAAGGAGATAAGGATGTTTTTCTCAACAAATATATATATATATTTTTTATTGACTTTTTACAGAGAGAAAGGGAGAGGGATAGAGAGTTTGAAACATCGATGAGAGAGAAACATCGATCAGCTGCCTCCTGCACACCCCCTCCTGGGGATGTGCCCGCAACCAAGGTACATGCTCTTGACCGGAATCGAACCTGGGACCCTTGAGTCCGCAGGCCGAC